CACCCCACCGGTGCCCAGCAAAAGGAGATGAGGGAGTTCATCAACCTCTTCTCCAAGTTCTATCCCTGTGAGCACTGCGCTGAGGATCTGCGGGAAAGGTGAGTTGCTTCATCCTTCTTTTTTTTTGGCAACCACTGCTGAAGGGGCTAGCCTGAAATGCGGGGCTGCAGCAGCTATTTGCATATCAGCAGCTCTTCCTGCACTTGGGGTTTGTAGCTACCTGAACTGGTTTCTTCCATTATTGCATCAATTAGAGATATACTTACTCAGAAAACAAGTACCTTTTCTTTTGCTTTTAGGTTGTGTGTTGCCTCCAAGACCTCCCTGAGGTGATTTCGGGTTTTTCTGGTTCAAACTGGCCTTGTGCTCGTTTGTGGAATTAGATTAGGACTCGAAATATTTTGGCTTTCAGGAGGGGAGCGTTCTTCTACTCCAGAAAGTCCCCTTTATTGGCAACCTCAGCAGTGGAGGCAAAGACCGAAACGGGCTGTGATGTTTGATAAAGTTTTATACTCCTGTTACTGTCAGCTTATTTCTTGAAAATATCAACTCTTCTGTTCTGGATGATGGAAACCTAATTATTGACTTAGCAGGTATTGCATGCAAAACAACGCCTCCCTATTTTTCATTTATTATTCTACTTTTTTTAATTCAGTGTTTTGATGAACTCAAGTACTTGCTTGTTACCATAGATAAGCTGTTTGACTCCTGCGTCTTTTCCCATTGACAAGGCTAGGCACTGAATGAAATCAAGCTGGTTGCAGCCATTGGTGTTTTATAGTGGAGGTTTGGCCTCCGATAATTACCAGTGGCTCTGTGCTTTTCTCTGGAGTCTCTTTGGGACTCATCTCGCAATAGCAAAGGCGACTCTGGCTGGCTGTGTGCTATGTGTCTGCTCTGGGTATTGAAGTTGGTGACTGTAAAAAAGTAACGTTTGTTTCCTCTTCCCTGTTTGCAGATTACGTACAAATCAGCCTGATACTAGCAACAGAAATAACTTCTCCCAGTGGTTGTGTCTTCTTCATAATGAAGTGAACAGGAAACTGGGGAAATCTGAATTTGACTGCTCTCGTGTGGATGAGCGCTGGCGAGATGGTTGGAAAGATGGTAGTTGTGATTAATCTGTAGAGACTGGTTTGGAAATCTAACAGACCAAGTCAATCTGGTGTTGAGTCACTATAGGGAGATGTGTGAGTCAATAACTGTTTGTGTGCTTGTGTGTGTGACTGATACGGCTTGTGGAAATAAAGGTAAACCGATTCTAAAAGTAAATTTGAAAATCTTATCCTAACAGTATTTTGATAAATCTATTACCCGAGGGATTGAGGCCTTACACTTGACACAGGAATTGCCAGAAACCTGTGAAATTTAGTCACTGACAAACTTGTGGAGACTTTTTCATTATGACATTTCCTTATTTTAGGGGCATTTGCTTATTTCTGTGGCTAGAAGTCCTTTTTCCTGAACACAGTTGTTGAGGGCTGCCCTGTGGCACTATACATTTATCCTGATGTTTTAGAAAATGCATCTGATTAATTGTAATTTTCATTTCTGTTGTTCTGATAGAGATAACTCATGCTGTGTTTTGTGCCAAGTCTGTACCCCAGGACCTTTCTTTCCGAGGTCTCCAATGCTTTTTGTTAAACTTGGATCCAGTTCCTTTGATTAAAAGGCCTGAAGGCAGGTACATTTAGTTTAAATACTAAAATCATGAAGCCCAGATTTCTCATTTTATTTTTGTATTTCAACTTATCATGTAAGATGGCATTGTAGAAAGGGAAACTAGAGCAGGACAAAAAAAAACCCCATATCTGATGAATGGAATGAAGTATCGGCTGGGTGAAATTCAAATGTTTTAAACTGATGGCTAATTTTCTTTGGATCGAGAAGTGGTATGATGAGAAGTTCTACTGAAATTCTTAAAGCAGATAACCTCCTCGTCTCTGCTGTGAACTTCCATCAGTCGCGAAAATAGCATGAGATTGATATTTGTCATGAAGCATATTCAGCTTTGTTTAGCATACAGTATTTCTGAAATGTCATTTGCTGGCCTGGTTGATATTCTGATCTTACCCTCTAGCTACAAATCTCTTTAGAACAAAAGCACTTTACAAGTCCCCTGCAGTATTTTGAGTCCTGCTTAAGACTGTGATGTCAGCTTACATAGTATTTATTGCACAAGGGACTCAAAGGTATCCCTAGGGTAGATTCCCTCTGTAGAAACTGGTCAGAATCCATGCTATGTGTATTTTTCCTTGGTAAGCTATATTGCATCAGCATATTGATATGTAAGTGTGAATTTCAGATTCAAGTGAAATAGCAGCATAAATTATTTACACCACAATGCATATAAACACGTATGTCTATAGAAAGAGATGGCTTAAAAAAAAAGGTCAAAATAATTTCAAGTTCTTAAAATAGATAGTGATATCATGCCCTTGCTGCATTTCTGGCTGTGAAAAGTTTGCAGGAGTTTGCACAATCCATGACAATAGTAGGCTTTTTCCTTCTGTACTTCC